GGGGTGGGAATGGGATTCTATGGGGTGGGAATGGGGTTCTATGGGGTGGGAATGGGATTCTATGGGGTGGGAATGGGATTCTATGGGGGGGGAATGGGATTCTATGGGGCGGGAATGGGGGCTATGGGGGGGGAATGGGATTCTATGGGGTGGGAATGGGATTCTATGGGGTGGGAATGGGGTTCTATGGGGTGGGAATGGGATTCTATGGGGTGGGAATGGGATTTTATGGGGTGGGAATGGGGTTCTATGGGGTGGGAATGGGATTCTATGGGGTGGGAATGGGGTTCTATGGGGTGGGAATGGGATTCTATGGGGTGGGAATGGGATTCTATGGGGGGGGAATGGGATTCTATGGGGTGGGAATGGGATTCTATGGGGTGGGAATGGTATTCTATGGGGCGGGAATGGGGTTCTATGGGGTGGGAATGGGATTCTATGGGGTGGGAATGGGATTCTATGGGGTGGGAATGGGGTTCTATGGGGCGGGAATGGGATTCTATGGGGTGGGAATGGGGTTCTATGGGGTGGGAATGGGGGCTATGGGGTGGGAATGGGGTTCTATGGGGCGGGAATGGGATTCTATGGGGTGGGAATGGGATTCTATGGGGTGGGAATGGAACATATGGGGCAGTAAAGGTATTCTATGGGGGGGAAATATAACCTATGGGGTGCTAAAGGTATTCTATGGGGCGGGAATGGTATCCAATGGGGGGGAAAGGGGGCCTATGGGGGGGGAAATGGGGTCTATGGGGAGTAAAGGTATTCTATGGGGCAGTAAAGGTGTCCTATGGGGGGTGACCCCCAACTCCCCATAAGTGACCCCAGACCCCCCATAATTGATCCCAAACCCCCCATAAGTGACCCCAACCCCCCCCATAAGTGACCCCAAACCCCCATAAGTGACCCCAAACCCCCCATAAGTGACCCCAAACCGCCCCATAAGTGACCCCAAACCGCCCCATAAGTGACCCCAGCCCCCCATAAGTGACCCCAAACCCCCCATAAGTGACCCCAAACCGCCCCATAAGTGACCCCAAACCCCCCAAAAGTGACCCCAAACCCCCCATAAGTGACCCCAAACCGCCCCATAAGTGACCCCAAACCGCCCCATAAGTGACCCCAGCCCCCCATAAGTGACCCCAAACCCCCCATAAGTGACCCCAAACCGCCCCATAAGTGACCCCAAACCCCCCATAAGTGACCCCAAACCCCCCATAAGTGACCCCAAACCGCCCCATAAGTGACCCCAGCCCCCCATAAGTGACCCCAAACCGCCCCATAAGTGACCCCAAACCCCCCATAAGTGACCCCAAACCACCCCATAAGTGACCCCAGCCCCCCATAAGTGACCCCAAACCCCCATAAGTGACCCCAAACCCCCATAAGTGACCCCAAACCCCCATAAGTGCCCCCAAACCACCCATAAGTGACCCCAAACCCCCATAAGTGCCCCCAAACCACCCCATAAGTGACCCCAAACCGCCCCATAAGTGACCCCAGACCCCCATAAGTGACCCCAGGCCCCCCATAAGTGACCCCAAACCCCCCATAAGTGACCGCAAACCGCCCCATAAGTGACCCCAGACCCCCATAAGTGACCCCAAACCGCCCCATAAGTGACCCCAGACCCCCATAAGTGACCCCAGACCCCCCATAAGTGACCCCAGACCCCCCATAAGTGACCCCAGACCCCCCATAAGTGACCCCAAACCCCCATAAGTGACCCCAAGCCGCCCCATAAGTGACCCCAAACCCCCCATAAGTGACCCCAAACCGCCCCATAAGTGACCCCAAACCCCCATAAGTGACCCCAAACCGCCCCATAAGTGACCCCAGACCCCCATAAGTGACCCCAAACCGCCCCATAAGTGACCCCAAACCCCCATAAGTGACCCCCAACTCCCCATAAGTGACCCCAAACCCCCCATAAGTGCCCCCAAACCGCCCCATAAGTGACCCCAGACACCCCATAAGTGCCCCCAAACCGCCCCATAAGTGACCCCAAACCGCCCCATAAGTGACCCCAGACCCCCATAAGTGACCCCAGACCCCCATAAGTGACCCCAAACCGCCCCATAAGTGACCCCAGACCCCCATAAGTGCCCCCAAACCCCCCATAAGTGCCCCCAAACCCCCATAAGTGACCCCAAACCCCCATAAGTGACCCCAAACCCCCCATAAGTGACCCCAAACCCCCCATAAGTGACCCCAAGCCCCCATAAGTGACCCCAAACCCCCCATAAGTGACCCCAAACCCCCCCATAAGTGACCCCAAGCCCCCATAAGTGACCCCAAACCCCCCATAAGTGACCCCAAACCCCCCATAAGTGCCCCCAAACCCCCCATAAGTGACCGCAAACCCCCCATAAGTGACCCCAAACCTCCCCATAAGTGACCCCAAACCCCCATAAGTGACCCCAAACCCCCATAAGTGACCCCAGACCCCCATAAGTGCCCCCAAACCGCCCCATAAGTGACCCCAAACCCCCCATAAGTGACCCCAGACCCCCATAAGTGCCCCCAAACCCCCCATAAGTGACCCCAAACCCCCCATAAGTGACCCCAGACCCCCATAAGTGACCCCAAACCGCCCCATAAGTGCCCCCAAACCCCCCATAAGTGCCCCCAAACCGCCCCATAAGTGCCCCCAAACCCCCCATAAGTGACCCCAAACCGCCCCATAAGTGCCCCCAAGCCCCCCATAAGTGACCCCAAACCGCCCCATAAGTGACCCCAGACCCCCATAAGTGACCCCAAACCGCCCCATAAGTGACCCCAAACCCCCCATAAGTGACCCCAAACCCCCCATAAGTGACCCCAGACCCCCATAAGTGACCCCAGACCCCCCATAAGTGACCCCCGACCCCCCATAAGTGACCCCAAACCCCCATAAGTGCCCCCAAACCACCCCAAAAGTGACCCCAAACCGCCCCATAAGTGACCCCAGACCCCCATAAGTGACCCCAAACCGCCCCATAAGTGACCCCAAACCCCCCATAAGTGACCCCAAACCACCCCATAAGTGACCCCAAACCGCCCCATAAGTGCCCCCAAACCGCCCCATAAGTGACCCCAAACCGCCCCATAAGTGACCCCAAACCCCCCATAAGTGCCCCCAAACCGCCCCATAAGTGACCCCAAACCGCCCATAAGTGACCCCAAACCCCCCATAAGTGACCCCAAACCCCCATAAGTGCCCCCAAACCACCCATAAGTGACCCCAAACCCCCCATAAGTGACCCCAAACCCCCCATAAGTGACCCCAAACCCCCATAAGTGACCCCAAACCGCCCCATAAGTGACCCCAAACCCCCATAAGTGACCCCAAACCCCCCATAAGTGACCCCAAACCCCCCATAAGTGCCCCCAAACCGCCCCATAAGTGCCCCCAAACCCCCCATAAGTGACCCCAAACCGCCCCATAAGTGACCCCAGCCCCCCATAAGTGACCCCAGCCCCCCATAAGTGACCCCAAACCCCCATAAGTGACCCCAAACCCCCATAAGTGACCCCAAACCCCCCATAAGTGACCCCAAGCCCCCATAAGTGACCCCAAACCCCCCCATAAGTGACCCCAAACCCCCCATAAGTGACCCCAAACCGCCCCATAAGTGACCCCAAACCCCCCATAAGTGTCCCCCAAACCACCCCATAAGTGCCCCCAAACCGCCCCATAAGTGACCCCAAACCGCCCCATAAGTGCCCCCAGACCCCCCATAACTGACCCCAAACCACCCCATAAGTGACCCCAAACCGCCCCATAAGTGACCCCAAACCCCCCATAAGTGACCCCAAACCGCCCCATAAGTGACCCCAGACCCCCATAAGTGACCCCAAACCCCCCATAAGTGACCCCAAACCGCCCCATAAGTGACCCCAAACCCCCCATAAGTGACCCCAAACCCCCCATAAGTGCCCCCAAACCGCCCCATAAGTGACCCCAAACCCCCCATAAGTGACCCCAAACCCCCATAAGTGACCCCAGACCCCCATAAGTGCCCCCAAACCCCCATAAGTGACCCCAAACCGCCCCATAAGTGACCCCAGACCCCCCATAAGTGACCCCAGACCCCCATAAGTGACCCCAAACCGCCCCATAAGTGACCCCAAACCCCCCATAAGTGACCCCAAACCCCCATAAGTGACCCCAAACCGCCCCATAAGTGACCCCAAACCCCCCATAAGTGACCCCAAACCCCCATAAGTGACCCCAAACCACCCCATAAGTGACCCCAAACCACCCCATAAGTGACCCCAAACCCCCCATAAGTGACCCCAAACCGCCCCATAAGTGACCCCAGCCCCCCATAAGTGACCCCAGACCCCCATAAGTGACCCCAAACCGCCCCATAAGTGACCCCAGACCCCCATAAGTGACCCCAAACCCCCCATAAGTGACCCCAAACCGCCCCATAAGTGACCCCAAACCCCCATAAGTGACCCCAAACCCCCCATAAGTGACCCCAGACCCCCATAAGTGACCCCAAACCCCCCATAAGTGACCCCAAACCGCCCCATAAGTGACCCCAGACCCCCATAAGTGACCCCAAACCCCCCATAAGTGACCCCAAGCCCCCATAAGTGACCCCAAACCCCCCCATAAGTGACCCCAAACCCCCCATAAGTGACCCCAAACCGCCCCATAAGTGCCCCCAAACCGCCCCATAAGTGACCCCAAACCGCCCCATAAGTGACCCCAAACCCCCCATAAGTGACCCCAAACCGCCCCATAAGTGACCCCAGACCCCCATAAGTGACCCCAAACCGCCCCATAAGTGACCCCAGACCCCCATAAGTGACCCCAAACCGCCCCATAAGTGACCCCAGACCCCCATAAGTGACCCCAAACCGCCCCATAAGTGCCCCCAAACCCCCCATAAGTGACCCCAAACCACCCCATAAGTGACCCCAAACCCCCCATAAGTGACCCCAAACCGCCCCATAAGTGACCCCAGCCCCCCATAAGTGACCCCAGCCCCCCATAGGGCCCCACTGACGTTGTCGGTGAGGGTGACGTCCGCCCCACGGGTGAGCAGGCGCCGGATGACCTCGATGTGCTTGTGCTCCGCAGCCCAGATGATGGGGGTCCAGCCCCCATTGTCCTATGGGGCAGCAGCAATTGGGGGGGGGGCCTTCATCCCCATCACCCCATTGGGTACCACCAGCATCACCCCATTGGGTCCCATCCCCATCACCCCATAGGGTCCCATCTCCATCACCCCATAGGGTCCCATCTCCATCACCCCATAGGGTCCCATCCCCATCACCCCATTGGCTCCCATCTCAATCACCCCATAGGGTCCCATCCCCATCACCCCATTGGGTACCACCTCCATAACCCCATAGGGTCCCATCCCCATCACCCCATAGGGTCCCATCTCCATCACCCCATTGGGTACCACCAGCATCACCCCATAGGGTCCCATCCCCATCACCCCATAGGGTCCCATCCCCATCACCCCATAGGGTCCCATCCCCATCACCCCATTGGGTACCACCAGCATCACCCCATAGGGTCCCATCCCCATCACCCCATTGGCTCCCATCTCCATCACCCCATAGGGTCCCATCCCCATCACCCCATTGGGTACCACCTCCATAACCCCATAGGGTCCCATCCCCATCACCCCATAGGGTCCCATCTCCATCACCCCATTGGGTACCACCAGCATCACCCTATAGGGTCCTATCTCCATCACCCTATAGGGTCCTATCTCCATCACCCTATAGGGTCCTATCTCCATCACCCCATAGGGTCCTATCTCCATCACCCTATAGGGTCCTATCTCCATCACCCTATAGGGTCCTATCTATATCACCCCATAGGGTCCTATCTCCATCACCCCATAGGGTCCTATCTCCATCACCCCATAGGGTCCCATCTCCATCACCCCATTGGGTACCACCAGCATCACCCCATAGGGTCCCATCCCCATCACCCCATAGGGTCCCATCCCCATCACCCCATTGGGTACCACCAGCATCACCCCATAGGGTCCCATCCCCATCACCCCATTGGGTCCCATCCCCATCACCCCATAGGGTCCCATCTCCATCACCCCATTGGGTACCACCAGCATCACCCCATTGGGTCCCATCTCCATCACCCTATAGGGTCCCATCTCCATCACCCTATAGGGTCCCATCTCCATCACCCCATAGGATCCCATCTCCATCACCCCATAGGGTCCCATCTCCATCACCCCATAGGGTACCACTATCATCACCCTATGGGGTACCAGCAGCATCACCCCATTGGGTACCACCAGCATCCCCCCATAGGATCCCATCCCCATCACCCCATAGGGTCCCATCCCCATCACCCCATTGGGTCCCATCTCCATCACCCCATAGGGTCCCATCTCCATCACCCTATAGGGTCCCATCTCCATCACCCCATAGGGTCCCATCCCCATCACCCCATTGGGTCCCATCCCCATCACCCCATAGGGTCCCATCCCCATCACCCCATTGGGTACCACCTCTATCACCCCATAGGGTCCCATCCCCATCACCCCATAGGATCCCACCACCACCACCCCATTGGGTCCCATCCCCATCACCCCATAGGGTCCCATCTCCATCACCCCATAGGGTCCCATCCCCATCACCCCATAGGATCCCATCCCCATCACCCCATAGGGTCCCATCTCCATCACCCCATTGGGTACCACCAGCATCCCCCCATAGGGTCCCATCTCCATCACCCCATAGCATCCCATCTCCATCACCCCATTGGGTACCACCAGCATCACCCCATTGGGTACCACCATCATCACCCCATAGGGTCCCATCTCCATCACCCCATTGGGTACCACCAGCATCACCCTATGGGGTACCAGCAGCATCACCCCATTGGGTACCAGCAGCATCACCCCATTGGGTACCACCAGCATCCCCCCATAGGATCCCATCTCCATCACCCCATAGGGTCCCACCTTCATCACCCCATTGGGTACCACCAGCATCACCCTATGGGGTACCAGCAGCATCACCCCATTGGGTACCAGCAGCATCACCCCATTGGGTACCACCAGCATCACCCCATTGGCTCCCATCTCCATCACCCCATAGGGTACCACCATCATCACCCCATAGGATCCCATCTCCATCACCCCATAGGGTCCCATCCCCATCACCCCATAGGGTCCCACCTTCATCACCCCATTGGGTACCACCAGCATCACCCTATGGGTTACCAGCAGCATCACCCCATAGGGTCCCATCTCCATCACCCCATTGGGTACCACCAGCATCACCCCATTGGCTCCCATCTCCATCACCCCATAGGGTACCACCATCATCACCCCATAGGATCCCATCTCCATCACCCCATAGGGTCCCATCCCCATCACCCCATAGGGTCCCATCCCCATCACCCCATAGGGTCCCATCTCCATCACCCCATTGGGTACCACTATCATCACCCTATGGGGTACCAGCAGCATCACCCCATTGGGTACCACCAGCATCCCCCCATAGGATCCCATCCCCATCACCCCATAGGGTCCCATCCCCATCACCCCATTGGGTCCCATCTCCATCACCCCATAGGGTCCCATCCCCATCACCCCATAGGGTCCCATCTCCATCACCCCATTGGGTACCACTATCATCACCCTATGGGGTACCAGCAGCATCACCCCATTGGGTACCACCAGCATCCCCCCATAGGATCCCATCCCCATCACCCCATAGGGTCCCATCTCCATCACCCCATTGGGTACCACCAGCATCACCCCATAGGATCCCATCTCCATCACCCCATAGGGTCCCATCTCCATCACCCCATTGGGTACCACCAGCATCACCCCATAGGATCCCATCTCCATCACCCCATTGGGTCCCATCCCCATCACCCCATAGGGTCCCATCTCCATCACCCCATTGGGTACCACCAGCATCACCCCATAGGGTCCCATCTCCATCACCCTATAGGATCCCATCTCCATCACCCCATTGGGTACCACTATCATCACCCTATGGGGTACCACCAGCATCCCCCCATTGGGTACCACCAGCATCCCCCCATAGGATCCCATCCCCATCACCCCATAGGGTACCACCATCATCACCCCATAGCATCCCATCTCCATCACCCCATTGGGTACCACCAGCATCACCCTATAGGGTCCTATCTCCATCACCCCATAGGGTCCCATCTCCATCACCCCATAGGGTACCACCATCATCACCCTATGGGGTACCAGCAGCATCACCCCATTGGGTACCACCAGCATCACCCCATAGGCTCCCATCCCCATCACCCATAGGGTCCCACCTTCATCACCCCATTGGGTACCACCATCATCACCCCATAGGGTCCCATCTCCATCACCCCATAGGGTACCACCAGCATCACCCCATAGCATCCCATCTCCATCACCCCATAGGGTACCACCTCCATCACCCTATGGGGTACCAGCAGCATCACCCCATTGGGTACCACCAGCATCCCCCCATAGGATCCCATCCCCATCACCCCATAGGGTCCCACCTTCATCACCCCATAGGGTCCCATCCCCATCACCCCATAGGGTCCCATCCCCATCACCCCATAGGGTCCCATCTCCATTACCCCATAGGGTACCACCTCCATCACCCCATAGGGTCCCATCCCCATCACCCCATAGGGTCCCATCCCCATCACCCCATAGGGTCCCATCTCCATCACCCCATTGGGTACCACCAGCATCACCCCATAGGGTCCCATCTCCATCACCCCATTGGGTACCACCTCCATCACCCCATAGGGTCCCATCCCCATCACCCCATAGGGTCCCATCTCATCACCCCATTGAGTCCCATCTCCATCACCCCATTGGGTACCACCATCATCACCCTATGGGGTACCAGCAGCATCACCCCATTGGGTACCACCAGCATCCCCCATAGGATCCCCATCCCCATCACCCCATAGGGTCCCATCCCCATCACCCCATAGGATCCCATCTCCATCACCCCATAGGGTACCACCAGCATCACCCCATAGCATCCCATCTCCATCACCCCATTGGGTACCACCTCCATCACCCCATAGGATCCCATCTCCATCACCCCATAGGGTCCCATCTCCATCACCCCATAGGGTACCACTATCATCACCCTATGGGGTACCAGCAGCATCACCCCATTGGGTACCAGCAGCATCACCCCATTGGGTACCAGCAGCATCACCCCATAGGGTACCACCTCCATCACCCTATAGGGTACCACCAGCATCACCCCATAGGGTCCCATCTCCATCACCCCATAGGGTCCCATCCCCATCACCCCATAGGGTCCCATCCCCATCACCCCATAGGATCCCATCTCCATCACCCCATTGGGTACCACCATCATCACCCTATGGGGTACCAGCAGCATCACCCCATTGGGTACCACCAGCATCCCCCCATAGGATCCCATCTCCATCACCCCATAGGATCCCATCCCCATCACCCCATAGGGTCCCACCATCATCACCCCATAGCATCCCATCTCCATCACCCCATTGGGTACCACCATCATCACCCTATGGGGTACCAGCAGCATCACCCCATTGGGTACCACCAGCATCACCCCATTGGGTACCATCTCCATCACCCCATAGGGTCCCATCTCCATCACCCCATTGGGTACCACCAGCATCCCCCCATAGGATCCATCTCCATCACCCCATAGGATCCCATCCCCATCACCCCATAGGGTCCCACCATCATCACCCCATAGCATCCCATCTCCATCACCCCATTGGGTACCACCATCATCACCCTATGGGGTACCAGCAGCATCACCCCATTGGGTACCACCAGCATCACCCCATTGGGTACCATCTCCATCACCCCATAGGGTCCCATCTCCATCACCCCATAGGCTCCCATCTCCATCACCCCATAGGGTACCACCTCCATCACCCCTTAGGGTCCCATCCCCATCACCCCATAGGGTACCACCAGCATCACCCCATAGCATCCCATCTCCATCACCCCATAGGGTACCACTATCATCACCCTATGGGGTACCACCAGCATCACCCCATTGGGTACCACCAGCATCCCCCATAGGATCCCATCTCCATCACCCCATAGGGTACCACCATCATCACCCCATAGCATCCCATCTCATCACCC